CACATGCACTCACCAGCTGACTATATTTAATATTTTTTCCAAAAGCCACACACAAATATTTGCCTTTTAGTCCAACATTATCAGCAGTTTTTATTTTGATTTTTTTTTCACTTTTCTTTCTTTTGTGTTTCTGATTAAACCTGTTTCCCACCTTATAACTAAGAATAACACTCAGGTGGGGAGGAGGACAGCTGTGTTCTCTGTCTCCTCAGTCCATCTCAGACCCCTAGTGACAACTCTTAACCACTTAGTAGTCCTCTGGAGCAGTCTTAACTATTCGGGAGAGTAAGAGTGATTCTTATACTTAAGAATTTTGATAACTGGYACTTACACTTAAGTCTGAGAGTAGGAGCAAATCTAAGAAATTTTCAGCACTTAAGTCTAAAAATTCACTCTAAGATGTTTGATAAATACGGGCCCTGACATTTCATTAGCACCATGTAATCCTACAGATTTAATCTAAAGAGCTGCCTCTTCATTTTGAAGTACACCCCTAGAACCCGCCCCCTGTAAACACCTGATATAAACCCACAACACCACAATCTGAGCCTGAGATCCAAGAAACTCCAGTTTATATTCCGTGACTGTCGTGTTCTCGAACCTCTGCCGACATGTTCTTTAAGTCCAATGTTAGCAGCAGGACACAGGAAATCACTGATCCTGTATTTAACAATGTAGGAAGAACATGTTTCCTGGAAAATCAACTCTGACCACAGCTGTGTTAGAGCAGATTTTGTAAAAAGAAAAAAAAAACAGCTTTGTCTGATTAAATTTCAGTCCAAAAACGTAAGTTTTTACCTGTGCAAAAGTAACTTGATCACTTGTTTAGTGAGCATGGGTTTTAAAAAAAACTGCATGAGTTTAGTCACAACACCTGACCCAGAAAAGTAAGAAAAAAAAAAACTATGTCAGTCCTGCCTGTGCTTCCCTGGGCTGCAGGTTAGTCCATCTTTCTGGGTCAAAGGCTGAAGACCTGCCTCATGGTTCCCGTGATAACGATGCCTGCCACCGGTCCAGCTCCCAGGATAGGTTGGAGGGGGTGGTGGGGAGGAAACGACGACTCACGGTGCAAAATGACAAAGATCAGGAGAAACGAGCGGGTCATCGTTCGATAAACTGCAGGTTGATGACATCTTTAGGGACTAGAAGGGTTCGGGTCATGGGCTTTACAGAAACTCCCCTTGGATCCGGCTTCACATCGAACACAGTCAGGATCTAATGAAAGAACAGAAACAATCACATCAGACAGGAGCAGAGTGACTGTAAATAAAAAAATAAAATTAATAAGCTGAACAATGACAGATACAGTACTACGTAACCAAACAGGAAGTAAATCAGTCCAAACAGTTTATTCTGTGTAGTTTTAAGTCAAGCTAACGTACCCGTGACAGAGCAAGATACAGCTCCAGCTCCGCGAGCCGGCGACCGATGCAGCTGCGCTTCCCCACGCCGAAGGGAATGGAGGCGTACGGGTGATGAGACTGGTCCTTACTGAACCAGCGGTACGGATGGAAGTCATTTGGATTTGGAAACACGGAGGGGTCCCGTGATGTTGCAAACTGGCACAAGGTAATTAAAGTCTGGAAGGGTAGTCAGAGCGGGATGTTTAATACGTGTGGTAAATGTAAAAAAGGTGAACCTCAGGTATGCGTTTAAGGAAGACTCACATTTTTTGGAATGATGTAGCCTCCAACCTGGATGTCTCTCTCTGGAACGACCCTTGCGTTAGCAGGGATGACTGGGTACAATCTGAAAGATGAAGTCAGATCAAGTTAGATGAAAGGTCACAATAAAKGTTGATAAAACACCAAATAAAACACTTTGTGAGATTTACCTGAGCACCTCTTTGACCGTGGCCTTCAGGAGACGCATGTTGGCCACGTCTGCGGCCACGGGGATCCTCYGACCCCCCAGCACCGTCAGCACCTCCTTCCTGATCTCAGCCTGGATCTTTGGGTGACGGGACAGCTCGTACAACGTCCAGGACAAGGTGCTGGAGATCTGAAAACACCAAAAAAGAAGAAGAGTTTCAACTTCTTGCTCGGACCGAAAACGGGACGCTGTAAGAGAGGACTCGATCTTACCGTGTCGACTCCGGCGAGGAGCAGCTCGGTGATGTTGCTGTAGATGGTCTTCATGGGCAGCTTGGTCTGTGACAGGAAGTAGGTGAGGTAACGCCCCTCCACCGTCTCTCCTCGGGCGATCCTGTCAGCATCAGCGGCCATCCGCTGGTCGATGTGACCCTTTGCTGCAAACAGAACAAAAAATAATTTAAATCAAAACAAGTTGTGATAATGATGCTGCAGACTCATTCCAACAGTGAGCCCTAACCTCTAGTATTCTATCAAATAGATCAGATGGCGTGGCCATGCATTCACTGCACTCGACATTAACATCGGGGCAGATTATCTCGTAGTGCGTGAGGGTTAAATACTTTAATCTCCTGCTTCCTGATTTAAGATGATTATTTTAAACATGTTTGCCGTCTCAAAGCTGTGTAAGACACCACAGAGCCGAGCGAAACCCGCTCTGACAGCCAATAAGCAGCGAGGGGGAAACACACGCTCCAACGAAACGTTAGCCTCAGGGTCCGAGATGGAGCTTGAGCCCATCCTTCTTTGTAAGATCCTCTGAGAATCTGTTAATTCTCCCTGCTGGTTGATTAATTCTGGTAATCCTATTCTCTTACCATCAAGACATGTACATTTTTTAAAGTCAGCCATACCTACCAAACTCAAACATGTAGTCCCAGCACTGGTAAAAGTCATTCCAGGGTTTGGGGTAAAACTGGTAGCACCAGTTTGGCAGGGCCATGGTGATCAGGGTCATCACAAACATGGTCTTAATGGACTGGATGAAACGCTCCGTCTCCTCTGGAACGACCGAATCCAAACAACCGATTCTGGACTCAAACAGCACCGAGGAAATGCCTGTTGGAATCAAAATGCACAAGACGAAGCAAAGGGTTATTCGTCTGGTTTAACAGGAGATTTTCACCAGTATAAAGCTCAGACCAGTTCTCACTTTGGTGGGTTTACCAATCAGCGTCTATGCAGTGAAGTATAATCCATTGTAATAAACRGCAGATCTTACCCTCGAGACCAAAGCGATAGAACTCGCTGGAGATGTCGGTGACCAGGCCCTGAGAGCTCCGGCTGTGGCGAAGCTTGGCAATGAGGTCATCGACGACGCCGTTCATGGTCTTGTCGTAAACTTCCACTGCCTTCGGTCGCAGCATGTGCTTCCCCAGGAGACTTCGCACCTCCTGCCACTCCTCACCCTCACTGGAGAGGGAATCAACAGGGACACGTGACCGTGCATGCCGGACGCAAATTTTAAACCAGTTTTTGACCATTCTTCACGAGCAAAGTGGCAAAAAAGAWGTGGTACTCACGCCGTCAAGAGTCCGCAGTGGAGTCCTCTGAGCTTCCTGTAGTCCTTCCAGGAGGACAGGTTGGAGCGCATGGGGTACTGGCCCTCCTGCCTCAGGACCTGCTCTATGAGCTCCGGCTTGGCCACGTAAACTGTCAGGATGGGGCCAAAGCTTGCCTTCCACATGGGGCCGTACTGATGGAGTCCTTCCACCTGGGACAGAAGACAAATAATTGATTGGTTGATTTATTGTATTTTTTTAAAGGAAAAATGGCAAGTTATAAGAGGACTGTATGCACCAGATCATGGTCTCTTTCAGAATAAATGGTGCAGAAAAAAGAGTCATGGTTTGAAGCAAAAATCTGAATGCCAGCACACACACACACACACACACACACACACACACACACACCCACACACACACACACACACACACACACACACAC